TTCGAGATGAGTCCCACCCAAGCCCAGTGTTCACTACTGGATTGCTGGTTTGAGAAATTTTTAAGTCTTTCAGAAAATATAAGTAAAGGATGTCAACATGCTTCCCTGGTATCTATATACTCAGTGGCCCCTTTTATCAGCTCCAGTCAGTGAAGACTTGTCAAGGAAATATTATTGCTTTTCTACAGATCTTCACTGAACTCTGAAATTTTTCTTTTTCTTTTCTTTTCTTTTCTTTTCTTCTTTCTTTCTTTCTCTCTTTCTTTCTTTCTTTTCTGATTTTACCCATTTATTCATGAGAGACAGAGAGAGACAGAGGGAGAAGCAGGCTCCCTGTGGGGAGCCCAATGTGGGACTCCATCCTAGGACCACAGGATCACAACCTGAGTCAAAGGCAGATGCTCAACCACTAAGCCACCCGTGTGCCCCTCTTTTTTTTTTTTTTAAGATTTTATTTATTTATTCATGAGAAAGAGAGAGAGAGAGAGAGAGGCAGAGACACAGGCAGAGGGAGAAGCAGGCCCTATGCAGGGAGCCCGACATGGGACTTGATCCCAGGTTTCCAGGATCATGCCCTGGGCTGAAGGCGGTGCTAAACCACTGAGCCACCCAGGCTGCCCCTTCTTTTTTTATTTTAAAGATTTTATTTATTTGACACAGAGAAAGAGAGAGAGAGAGAGAGAGAGAGAGAGAGAGAGAGAGAGAGAGAGAGAACAGCAAGGGCAGTGAGAGGGAGAAGCAGGTTCCCCACAGAGGAGGGAGCCTGACCCACGGCTCCATTCCAGGATCCTAGGAACATGACCTGAGCTGAAGGCAGATGCTTAAATGGCTGAGCCAGCCAGGTACCCCAAAACTCTGAAATTTCTACTCAAATATACTTTGAGAACTCCAGAGGATCCCAGCAAGAAATTTTTTTATACCACTAGAGCCTTCTGCCTGACAGCAGACCCCTCTACCAGGTCCTTACCTTTAAAGTGTAAATACAGTGTATCATTCAATGCTGGGGTAATATAAAGCTTGTGTTGCTTGCAGAGCTTTTGCAGGAAACTTTTAGTCATTCTGTTAAGTGAGAAACATGAATAAGAAATTTATTTCAGTTTGTCAGCTGTGAAACATTCCAAAAATTCTTTAGCACACCCATTTCTTCTCCAAATTCCAAAATAACCTAAGTGGCTGATAACTTTTCTTTTTTTTTTTTCTTTCTTTCTTTCTTTCTTTCTTTCTTTCTTTCTCTTTCTTTCTTTCTTTCCTTCTTTTCTTTTCTTTCTTTTTTTTTTTTTTGCCTAATAAACTATTTTAAGTTCTTTTTTTGTATACCTTCCAGGGCCTCCTCCAATATCATTACTTTCAGCATTCCTAAAAATTGCAATGTATGTTCTAATAAAAATACTTTTAATAGTGTCATCAAGAACTACTGATGTTTCTCTCCCCAGGCCTGGCATTAAAGTTTAATACACTGTGGTTAGTTGTGCTATAGATGCAGCACCATTCTGACTCTGGTACTAATTCTCAGACACTGGGCCAACTATTTAATTTCCGTGAGCCTCAATTTCCTTATCTGTTCAAAGGGGTGATTATAGCAGGACACCTGGGTGGCTCAGTGGTTGAGCGTCTGCCTTTGGCTCACGGTGTGATCCTGGTGTCATGGGATGGAGCCCTGCACTGGGCTCCCTATGGGGAGCTTCTCCCTCTGCCTATGTCTCTGCCTTTCTCTCTGTCTCTCATGATTACATAAATATAATCTTAAAAAATGGGGTGTGTGTGTGATTATACCATCTGCTTTCCTCAGTAAATGTGTGCTGTAATTGGCAGCAGCATGCTCACATACCTGGGGCTGTGATTTTCCTGGTCATCTCTCTCATTTGCTAAGCAACTGCCCGACCTGCTGTCACCACTCTGTTTCTGCTTGCTTGGGTAAGATGTGTCAGAAGGACTCACACATGTTTCCTTCGGATCATTAATTTCTATAAAATAAGGGAATAGAGATCAAGAGGTGTATAAAATGTTTGCCCAATTTCAACTTGATTAGTAAATGTTGGCTTTTAATATGGAACATGAGGGCTCTTTAAATGTATGACGATTTGTAAAGCATTGGTAAAGACTACTGCAAGTTCACTTCTAGGGAGGTCCTCCATGAGAGCTTTTGAACAGGTGCACAAGGATGCATGTACAAAGGTATTCATTACTGCATTACTTTTAATAGCAGAAGACAGTCAACAATGCAAATAACCACCCGTGGTGGCTAGTTACGTAAAATAACGGATTAGTATCTGCCTTGGGGAAGAATGCACTACATCAATCAATACGGATAATTCTCAGAAACATGTAGGAGAAAATAAAGCAAGTTTCATGATAAGCACATATATATACCATTTATATAAGTTAAAAACATACAAACCAATGTTATGAGGTGTTTATGGACAAATAATATATATACATAGAGAAAGAGGAGGGGAGAAAGCATGTGTGGAAGGGAGGGTGGGAGGGAGGAAGGGAGAGACAGAAAGAGAGAGACAGATGTGATTGAAAGAATCCACACAAAAATTCTGGATAAGGGAAGGGGAGGAGGGTATAGGAATGAGAATTGGGGGGAGAAGGGCAAAAGGAACATCGACTTTATTTGAAATGTCTTAATTTAAAAAAAAAGACTTTAAGTAAAAATGATAAAACTTTAATCATTTTCAATTCTTAGTGATGATACATGGGTATTTGTTACAATGTTCTCTCTTCTTTTTAAAAAGTGCCCCAAAGAAAAACCACAGGAAAAGAAACAAAAGTGTCGAAAACATCTTTGGTAAAAAGAGAATGAGCACATTCAAAGGCACTTAATTTTTTTTAAAGGTCAATCAAAATTGGCCAGTTCAAATGCACTTAAATCTTTAAGAGTTGTTGGCTGCTGTGCTCTATGTTCCTGTGGTCTATCGAACCAGACTAACCACTCTGTGTGTGGGACAGAGTCTTACACTCTTCCATTTCCCACTGCATGCAATGTCCAGCCACAGGAGGTGCCAGATAAGTGTTTGGGGGAATAAATACACAAGAGGTGTTCAGCATACATAATAATTGATTATCTGAATAACAAGAGCTAGTGTTGATTAATGGCCCACTGTAGCCCAGAAACCTAATATAATTACCCCTACCTACAGACCAGTAGACTGCCCCCCCCCCCCAAAGAGAGGCTAAACTCTGGGCTGTCAGCCTTAAAACGGGCAAGTTGCAGAGCTGCAATCTGTACCCAGTGTGAATACCTCCAAAGCCTCTTTCCAGTGAGCCACACAGCTTCCCTGCAGCTCTACATACAGGGCTTGCCTGCACGGCTAATGCTCCAGACACGCTAGTTGAGTGAGTTCAAAAAACGAAATACAAATCAAGTAGCTTATGCAACCATTGAAAGATTTCCCTTGGGGCCCCAAGCAAAGTGAGAGCAGAGGCTGAAAGCTGTCTGAGAAGCTGGTGAGGAGTCACCCACTGACCTCAGAACCACCAGCTCCCCATTCACACTCTACCATGGGTCAGGCACTGGACTGGACCCTGCTAATTCAGTCAGGACGTCCTGCCCCCAGAGCCTTTCATCTTTGATCTTGCAATAAAGGGGTACATTCCAAATAGGTAACAGGTGGGCGCTGGGGAGGCGGGTGTGCTGGGTAAGGGCTTGCGCTGCGAAGTCCGACTGTCCAGCGGGAGTCTGTGCTGTCAAGGACCTCACGAGGGTAATGTCGCTGGAGCAAGTTCCGTAACCTCTCTAAGTCTCAGTTTCTCCAATTGCATGAAACGGGGAGGAGTGCCCATCGCTGGGGGCGGGAGCACCCTTTACAAGGCGTGCGGCGCGCCCGTCATTATTACTATGGCTCCCGCCGGCCGGCCAGGTCAGGGGTGGTGCCGGCCGCAGCCCCCCGCCCCTCGGCTCCCGGGCAGCGGTGTGCACCTTCCTTGCGGCCCGCCGGGCCCGCGTCCCCGTGGTCGCCCGCCGACTGCTCCGCGCCCGGCTCCTGTGCGCGGCCCTGCCCCGCCCGCCGGTCCACCGCGGGCCCCGAGGCCTCGGGGTGCATGCTTATCCGGAAGCCCCGCACACCCTGCTCCGCGGGGTCGCCGAAGCCGCCGGCCGGGTCAGCGACGCGCCGCTTTCCTTCCCCGCCCGCCGCCCGCTGCCAGCCGCCGGCGTCCGAGTCGTTGGCCGCCCAACGCTAGCGGGGTCGCCACGGCAACCGCCGCGCACGCGCACTCGGGGGAGCTCCGGCGCGTGGGGACGCCGGGGGACGGGCCCCGCAACGGCTCCGCCCCATGCGCGTGCGCGGGTCACGTGGGGCGCGGCCGGCGGCAACGGCGGCGGCGGCGGCGGCGGCGACGGGGTTGCCGGTGGCGACGGGGGCGGCGGCCGCGCGGCTCTGGCGGGACCGGCTCGGGACTGCGCCGCCTCTGCAGGTACCGCGCCCCCCGCCCCCCCCGCCCCGGCCCCGCTTGCTCCGCCTCGGCCGCCCTGCCCGGTGCGCCCCGCCACGCCCCCGGGACCGTGCCCCTCCGCGCCCTGCGCACCGGGGACCGCGACCCCGTCGGCCCCCGCCCCGCGGCGCCCCTGCCGGACTGCACCGGGCGTTGCGCCCCCGGGGCCCCGTGCTCCGGGTCCGCCCCGCCCCGCCCCCACCCCGGGACCCGGCGGCCCTGGGCCCCACCCCCGACCCCGGCCCGGGCTCCCGGCGAGGCCCGAGCCGCCCCTTTGTCTGCGCCGCTCGGCTCTCCTTTCTCAAGCACTGGGTCGGGGTGGGATGTGTCGTCTTTGTTCCGAGCGGGGGAGCGCCTGAGGAAAGGGCGCCCCGGCCCCCGGAGCGCCGCGGGGCAAGGGCTCGGCAAGGGCTCGGCAAGGGCTCGGCAGCCCGGAGCAGCGCGCAGCCCGCCCGCCCCAGCCCGCCCCAGCCCGCCCCAGCCGCCCGAGCCCCGCAGCCCCGCAGCCCCGCAGCCCCGGAGCCCCGCAGCCCCGCAGCCCCGCAGCCCCGCTGGTGCTGGAGCCCGGATCCCTCCCCGGGGCGGGGGGCTCCATGGGCGGTAGCCCGGGCTCCGGACTCGGTGGACCTTGGTCCTGGGTACTACTCGGCTCTGTCGGCCTCGGTTTCCCCCTCTGCAAACGGGATGGCTGTAACTGCTCCTAAGGTGGGTGGGAGGACTGGAGGGCGCCGGGAGGAAGCGCCCAGGGGGCCTGCGGCCGAGCTCTCACCCCGACCGCCGCACGGAAGCCCTAGCGGACGCTCAACGCCGGCGGGAGCGGCTCGCGGAGCGCCCGAGTCCTCCGTGCTGTGTGTGTAGGGCTTCGTTCGATTTTAGGTAAGCACAGAGGTGAAGGGACTTCACCCTCACCCAAAACACAGCTCTTAGGTGGGAAGCCCGGATCAGACTCCAGGAAGTCTATTTTCAGAGTCTGTGGTTTAGTCACTACAGTAATATTCCAGGGGCAGGGAGTCCAACAAATCATTAAAGTAGATTTTAAGAATTGACGTAAAATTTTTAAAGAACATAAAATTCACCATCTTATCTATTTAGAAGTGTGCTCTTCATAGCAGCATATTCGCCATGTGCAGTGGTTCCCATCATCCCAGAAAAAACTCCTACCCCGTTAGCATATTCATTATGTGCGAGGATTTCCCATCCTCCCAGAAAAAAAAAAACTCCTACCCGGTTAGCAGGCACTCCCCATGCCCGCTGTACCTGTGCTCCCGCACCCCCAGTCTCCTTTCTGGCTCTGGATTTGCCTGATCTGGGCAGTTCATGTAGATTGGATCATACAATACATAGCCTTTTGTGTTTGGCTTCTTTTGCCGAGTTTGGTGTTTTCGAGGTCCATCTGTAGCAGGGTGCATCCTGCTTAATTCTTTTTATTGCTGACTGATGCTCCATTATGTGGACAGATTGCGTTTTGTTTACCATTTGTCTGTTGACATTTTGTTCCTGTGTTTTAGCTGTTGTGAATAGTGCTGCTGGGGATATGGCTGTATAAGTTTCCGTGTGGGTATAAGTTGTCTTGGGTGTATACCTAGGAGTGGATGCCGTCGTTATTTCAATTCCTTCTGCACAAATGGAGACCTGAAACGCAGGCCTGTTGGATCTCAGGTGGAGAACTCCCATGTTTTGCTCTTTCCGCTGAGCTCCCAGTCAATTCAGGTTAGCCGTATCCCAAAAATTGGCAAAGGAGGGAAAGGAAATTCCAGAATGTCACGATACACCAGTAATAATTTCATCAAAGTGCTGACACAAAGTTTGAGGAGCTCCTTAAATTTTTTCTCAAGAGTGAAATTTGAGCTTTGAACACAAAGCAGTATTTGCTTCTATTTATTAAATAGATATTATATATGCAGTCTTGTACCAGCTGCTGAGGAGGAATATTAAGGTGGGTGTGATCCCAGCCTCACACCATTGCAGAGCCACAGGAAGATTAAAGACTTAAATCTGAAGAGCAAAATTGTGAAAAGTTTGACAAAATAACATAGGAAGATACCTTTATGTCCTGGGGCTAGTAGGGAATTTCTGAAGTGGAGCATAACAAAGCACAAAGCATATGGGAGAAAGACTAATACACTTGGCTGCATTAAAATCAAGAGTTCAGTTCATCAGAAGCAGTATAAAGAGACCAAACATAGAGAACCAGTATCTAGAACATAGACTGAAAAGGAAGATAACACAGCAGAAGTAAGGGCAAAAGCTAGAAACAGGTATTTCGCAGACAAGGAGCCACAAACAGGGAAGCATCACAAGGATGCAGTCACCCTTATCAGTAATCAGAAAATGTAAGTTAAAACCAGAGTCAGCCCCTGGTTCAAGACACCCTGTGGGCAGGTGAACTGACTGAGCCAGCCACACAGGGGAGGGGTACTGTGAACTCACACTGGCTAATGGTGGACGTGGGGATTGGCCTAGCAGCTTGGGCAGGGCCTGCTTGAACACATGGACGCCCTGTGGCACCGCAATCAGCCTCAGGCATACCCCTTCAATGGACTCTAGCACTAGGGCGCAGGTGATGTGCGCAAGAGTGCACATGGCAGCTCTGTTCGTAATTGTAAACTAAAAGCCAAAATACTCCCAACCCAAATGTGTATTGGCAATAGAATGGATGCACGAATCGTGGCATGTTTGTAAGGTGACAGAGGGTGCAGCAGTAAAAGTATATGACCCACAGCCTCCAGGAGCATGGATGAGTCTCGAAAACAATATTGAGTTAAAGAAACAAGTCATCAGGCCCCGGGGGCCTGCAGGCAGCTGGGTGCACACACCCCACAGGTGAAGGGCCTCTCGCTGTTCCCGGGGCACCGCTGGTGCCGAATAAAGAGTGTTGTATCCAGGAAAAAAAAAAAAAAAGAAACAAGTCATCAAAGAACACACGTGCTGTGATTCTTTTATATAAGGTCCCAAGCCAGCAAAACTGAACACTTTCTTTCAGAATCTCTGCTGAGGTAATTGTACAACTGTTTTTTTAAAGGGCAAGGGGATGATGTCAGAATTGAGGAGAGTGGTAGCCTCCAGGGCGGCAAAAGGCGATGATATGGTCAGGGAAGAAGCTATGGGGCTTCTAAATGGGTGTTGTTTTGTTATTCTTTGAACTACGCATAATAGCTTGTATGACTTTCGTGTGTCTTTTTCAGTTCTTTTCAAGTTACAGAAAAACTAGTTTTAGATACATCTCCTGCCCTTTAGAGGCCTGTGCTCTAGTTGGGGAACCAAGAGACAAAGGAAACAGCTAAGCAGAACAGCTTAGCAGAACAGCTAAGCAGTGCAGCAAGAGTCACATGGGTCAGACAGACAGACACACACTCAGGGAGAGGGGAGGGGCTCGGGGTAGTAGCCTAGGAAGGAGTGGGAAGAGATGCAGGGCTCCCATTCATCCCAGGCCTGGCATGTCGCTGGCACTGATCAGTAAGCCCTGACATTGAATTGAGAGTCAAGCTGGTCTTGGGAGGACAGACAGGATTTGAGTGCTAAGAGCAAGACAGATGCAGACCCTGTGAAAAAAAGTAAGATCCCTATGAAAACATGTTAACGAGAATGAAGTCCACAGGCCTGGAGCCTTACGGAAAGGCTGCACAGTGCTGGCTATGGCTGAGGATGGGGAGGACCACCTCAGGCCTGCCCCATTCCATGGAAGGTCAGAGGAATCTCTCAGGCTGTTTCTGGCTCCTGAGAACGCTAGAATGTTTTGGCTTAAGGGATGTGCAGGATTCGCAACTTGTCTCTGTACTGTCCTAAAAACGAGACTGATAGTCTCTCTGTCTTTCAGTCCATCCATCCATCTATCTTATTTTCCTATTGTTGCTGTAACAAATTACCACAAACTTAGTGGTTTAAAACAGTGCAGATTTATTCTCTTACAGTTCTGGAGGTCAGAAATCTGAGATCAGCCTGGTTAGCTAAAGTCAGGGTGTCAGCAAGGCTGTGTCACTCCTGGATGCTCTGGGGAATCTGTTTCCTGCCTTTGCCAGATGCTAGAGGTGCCTGCATTCTAGAGGGTAAACCCTCTCCCCATCCTCAAATCCAGCAGCCTGGCATCTTTAAATTCCACTCTCTATCTCCTTGGCCTCCACTTCTTGATCACATTTCCTCCGACTCTGACCTCCTGCCCCCCCTCCTCCAAGGACACGTGTGATCACAGCAGCCCACCTGGATCATCCAGGATCATCTTCTCATTTCAAGGTCCTTAGCTTAATCACATCTGCAAAGTCCTCTGCTACACAAGGTGGGGCATTTGTGAAGTGTGAGGATTAGGATGTGGACATCTCCCTGGGCTATTATTCAGCCCATTGTGCTGCCTTCACTTAGTGCTGCTTTCACTGTCTTTTCCCATCATGCTTGCTTCGTTTTCCTTGAAAACTTTGTGGCCAGTCTGTCTGATATTCTTTTACTGTCAGGCCTCATTCGTTTAGATGACATGATGATGTCAGTGTTTGAGCCAAGATTTTTCCTGCCGAACTCTTGATTCATGGAGGCTTTGTATGAGATTTGCCTGCCCTTTTCACTGCTGAGTTGAGCAAGCTAAACTCTGGTTCGAGAGAATGTTACAGGCCACAGCAGTGCTTTGTTTTAAAGTTTATTTATTTTATTATCTTTATACCTAAAGTGGGGCTCGAACTCACGACCCTGAGATCAAGAGTCGCTCTACCAACTGAGCCAACCAGGCACCCCCATGGCAGTGCTCTGAAGAGGTGACTTTGCTCCTTGCAGTTTTGACCAAAATTTTCCACTGATACTTTTATACTTGAAATATTTCCTTTAGGGTTTGTTTGTTGTTTTTTACAGGCTTTGTTTTAGAACTGTTCAGGAGCAGGGTTAGGTTTACAGTGAAATTGAGAGAAAGGCACAGAGCTTGCCCGTATCCCTCCCCCCCCCCCCCCCCCCCCCGCTCCCACACATCCCCTATTGTCAACATCACTTACCAGAATGGTACCTTTTTTTGTTTTCTTTTGTTTTTTATCAAGGATGAACCTACGACACATCATCATCACCCGAAGTTCATAGTTTGCCTGGGGGACCTTTACGTGTTTGATGCATTAGCCCTGATGAATGTTACCCTGTAGATGTAGAAGATGCCTAACAGACGATAGGGGACTGCTCTTTTCCTATTTTGGGCACAGTTCTGACTCTTTTCCTCCACCTGTTTTTCTTCTATTTTGTTCATTGATGATTTAGTTTTCTGTAGAGGCCAGAAAACAAAGCTTTATGATAACTTTTATGAGCAGATTGGGTAGGGACCAGAATTTTACTATGGTTCAGTGTTGCTTTCTAAATAATGAATTTTTCTAAGTTTTAGGCTAATACTTATCTGCAGAAAAATTAACTAGTCAAACTGTCATTGCAAGTTAAACGCAGCTCAATATCTGTTCATATCTTGGTGGGCTTCTCGACCTAAGTGTATAATAAACTCCATTAACCCTGGGTTCCGTGAGATTTCCTGGATGTTAGTGGCTTTGGGAGAAGTCTTGATTTCTTCTTTCATTAGGAAGACATTATTTTCCATCACATATTTAAGGGTGGGGAGAGGATGAAGAGGATGTGAGGAATGTCTAATGTCCTATTGTTTTCCACTTATGGTCCATCAGGGTAGGAACAAATGTGTGAAAACGTCTGGTGTGTCTGAGAAGCAGAACAGAGGATATCACAAAACCACAGGCTCTCCATTCAGCCTTGCCTTGTCCCCATCAGGAAGGACCAGGATCCCCGACCCCTCACTTCCTTGCCTGCTCCAGCACAGCCGCCACCCTCTGCCGCTGGCCCTCTGCCACCAGCCACCGCCTTTTACAACAGACCCTGCTTGGCTCCCTCCTTTGGCGGAAGGGATTTACACAGAGTCAGTCCACACACTTCTGTTTGGCATAAAGACCTTTCACAATCTGGCCTTTTCTCCCAACCCTCTTGCCACTCCTGGGTGCTCTTCCTGTGCCGTTATGCCTGTTGAATTGGTCAGCATTAACCGGCAGGCCAGACCTTTTCAGTGCTGTGCCCTTGCCTCCTTACTCCTCAGGAGTGCTTACACCTTTCCACAGTGCTCTTACCACTTTGCACTGAATTGCTATTTCTCTTGATGAATTCTGTGTACAGAGCGATGCAGGCACTCCTGGCTTACTCGGGAAGAGTCCTCAGCATCTGACACTTGGTCATTCATTGCTTAGTTGTTCATCAGTGTTTTAGTAGTTTGGTCTCCTGGTGGACTTGCCTATAGACCAGCGACCATGCGTGTTTATACTTCTTGACAGTGTTGTATATTATTCATAAATAAGTTGATGTTTGAATTTGTCAGTGTTCTGTGAGTTGGTGGCTGTGAGTCAGGTCTCTCCATCTTGAGCTGTATCTGATGATGAGATGGCATTGTTCTTCCTCAAGGCTGTAGACCAGGCCTAGAATACTCTGAGCTCTCTGATTCTCTGTGATTAAAAAAAAAAAAAAATGTAGCCATGCCAGTATACGTTTAAGGTGTTTGCTTGTGGTGGAACAGTGACGTTAAATATCATCATGGTACCCCTGTGCCAGGACGGTAGAGGAGAGTGTGTGGGGCAGAGCCAGGAAGCCAGGCCACTCCAGGTCCAAGGCCCTTGAAACTGCTGTTCTCAGCGAGTGTCTGAAGTTGGTATGTCTTTCTGCTGAACCTGAGCAGGAGGTCCCTGGTGGGTTTTACCCATGGAGTTTCCTTCTGTAGAGGATCAGAGGATTTTGGTGGTCCCCTGGCAAGCAGGGGAATGAGAAAAGTGTGCAGCTGAGAGCTGAGCTAGAGAGACTAGGTAGTGCAGCTAATGTAGCAGCTGCCTGCTTATTAGCTCCTGCTATGGGCTGCAGGCTGTGGAAGGGGCTAGAATAACAAAGAGGCATAAAGTTTGGCCTCAGCCCTGGAGCAATTCAGTCCACTGGGGTTCTTCAAAAACAGAGTGGTGTAAGACAGTGTCTAGGGTGGAAAGAAGGGGAGAGGTGTGCCAGAGGTTCCTTTCCTCTGTGCAACCTGAAAGCACCTGCCCCACCCACAGGCTAGAAGAGGTTGCTCCAAATACCACTGGACACTTCTCCCCACCACCTCTGCCAGTGGGTTAGGCGAGTGCTAGATGCCTGGGCTCAGGAATAGAGGTGCCAGGGCTGCAGTAGTAGTGTGGAAGTTCAGGTGCTCTGCAGGTGGAGCAGAAGAAGGTGGCTTACAGAGAGAGAGCAGTGAGGCCCTGGGAAAGCCTGGGCAGACATGAGGGTGCAAAGATGGCCTGGTCTGCTCCCCTTCCTGGACCCAGCTGCTCCTGAGCTCCCAGTGTCTGTGCAGAGCACCATCTCTCTTCCAGCTCTCAGAACTGGTTTTGTTCCGTTTGATGAAATGTCCCTTAAGAAAGAAGGTACAGGAAAAGTGGGCACATTCCAGCTGAACCTTTCAGCAGAAGCTGTTGGTGCCTTCCTTTTTCTGAGATGAGGAAATGCTTCACTGCCTGTACCAGGGATTCAGGGTTTCAGAATTTGTGTTTTCTTAATTTTTAAAAACTTTGGTCTTAATGTTTATATAAAGGTTTCCCAGCTGAGCTGTGAGGGCGAAAGAAGGGAATTTGTTTCATGTTGGTTTTTGTTCACAGGTTGGCCTTAAAGACAGAGCAGTGTTTTCCTGAAAACCCAGGACCGGCAGAGAGAAGGTAAGAGAAAACCAAGGTAGCTAAGAATGACAGCAGAAAAATCAGAAATCTTGTGTGTGGTTAGGCACCTCTTGCTAGAGTTTTTCCTTCACAAACGTTCAGATTCTTGGAAAAAATTGTGTTTGAAGAGGAAGAAGTTCCCTTTACACCAGTTCTCATTAGTACAAGGCCATTTCACGAGCCATGTCTGACCTGCTCTTTCTGAGTAGAACCTTGGTGCAGACTCTGGGCATAGTTAATTTTCCCACAAGTACTGCTTTTATGACAATCCAGTAGATAGCGATACATAGGATATAAATTTGCACCAAAAACAGTGTTTCAGTATCTTAGATATACACCCACCTGATTGGGAGGATAGATTTAATATTCTAAGAATTTAGATTTTTTGTTGTTGTAGTTTTGTTATTCCTAATTTTATTACACTGTGTTGGAAAACTAGTATATACTAGTACTAGTAAATATAAAAATAGTATATTTTGCATTTACTTTTCTTGTGGCTTCATATCGGATTCGTTATGACAGAAGGCTCTTGTACACTTTTAAATCAGGAACTCCCCAAAGTGAAGTTTTATTTATTTTTTAAAGATTTTATTTATTTATTCATGAGATACACAGAGAGAGATCGAGAGAGAGAGAGAGAGAGAGAGGGAGAGAGGCAGAGAGGTAGAGACACAGAGGGAGAAGCAGGCTCCATGCAGGGAGTCTGATGTGGGACTCGATCCTGGGACTCCAGGATCATGCCCGGGCCAAAGGCAAGCACTAAACCCCTGAGCCACCCAGGGATCCCCACAAAGTGAAGGTTTAACATGGAATTGCATTATTTTGTTCGTTCTTTTTTTTTTTTTTTTAAAGTTTTATTTATTTATTCATGAGAGACACGGAGAGAGAGGCAGAGACACAGGCAGAGGGAGAGGCAGGCTCCCTGTGGGGAGCCTGATGTGGGACTCAATCCCAGGACCCTGGGATCACTCTCTAGCCAAAGGCAGATGCTTAACCCCTGAGCCACCCAGGTGCCCTCTTATGTTCTTTCTTATAAGAAATTCCTGTTTTGGTTGTTTCTTTGGGAATCTTGCTGTTACAATGCTTGAGGGACTGCAGCCATTGCGCAGCTCAGGGGCCTGCCCAGTCAGCCACCTGTCACCACGGGGACTTGGCTATGTACTGAGATGCAGAGCAAGAGCCCTTGAGAAGGGTGATGTGACACTCCTTGTTCTCTAGTGTTGGAGGCCTGGAGGGGCATTCATGCACAGCAGGAAGAGAATGGACATATTCGAGATAGATGATCCTAACTGTGAATATATTTCTAAGGATCTGGGAGCAACTCTCCCAGTGCTGTTACCTCCTGTTTGGCAGATTGATGAGAACAAGAAGGGCCTCTTTGGTCCAAACTCCATTGATCTTGATACTTCAGATTTCAGAGAATCTCAGTTGATGTGGTCCCTGAAGAGAAATTACCCCAAAGGAGCATATAATTGTTCTTATGTTATTAAGTATTTGGCTTGTGGAGTTAATAAAGTTTACAGTGTTTTCTTTTCACAATCAGTTTTGGCGTTCCTGTCCTTGGAGGAGCGTCTCTATGAATAGAACCTCAGGATATAGCGTTTACCAGCAGGAAATGAGATGGCCCAACTTCTGTTGTTTTCTGTGCCATTTGGGGAAAACATTTCTTGAACTGAATGCCACATCAACTTACTTAGTAGTACAGTGGCCGTGTATGACTTCCTATGTGAGCAATCGTGTCCTTGTTGCAGGGCATTTGGGATCCTACTGCCTGTACCTCTCTTTAGTTTTCTGTCCCATTTCCTTGTGTGCTTTGCTGATTTGTAATTGGGGTTACACATTCATATATGTATCAGTATCAATATATATTCACATATCTATTTTTCTCTATATTCATCAGGTTTTCCATTATTTTATGTGCCTTTTATCACAGGATGCTGTCACTCTTAGAACGTGTTCCATTTCAATGGCTAATTGGTTTTCTCCTACTTTGCTCATTTTCACTCCGCAGAACTTGATTGGGCTCATATTACACTGCAGTGGAGTGAGAGGGCGTTCACTCATTCTTCCTTCAGTTTATACCTATTTTTGCTATCATTGGAAATTTTCTTAGTTTCACAAATTTTTTTTTTTCTTTTCTAATGGGACTTCTAAAGAGGGGCCATTCCCAGAAGTGTTATATATAGATTCTGGATGCAAGTCAATTTCCTTTTATGTAATAAATGCTACGTCCTTGTGTTTGTGCCTCTCAGAGCTCCCTGTAATTTAATTGCAGCCTCTTGTGATCCTTTCGATGTCTTGTCCCTCACAGCACACAGTTGGATTGGCCTCTGCGGTTCCCAGGTCTAGTCCAGGACCAAGTTCATTAGCATCAGTGGTGCCTGGCCTTTGCTTCTGCAGGGTCGTCTCTTGCACCACAGGCATACCTAGTGCAGTTCCGACAGCATTTAAAATAGTTTTGTTAGGGGTGCCTGGGTGGCTCAGCGATCGAGCTTCTGCCTTTGGCTCAGGGGATGATTCTGGGGCCCTGGGATCGAGTCCCATATCGGGCTTCCTGCATGGAGTCTGCTTCTCCCTCTGCCTATGTCTCTGCCTCTCTCTGTCTCTCATGAATAAATAATAGAATCTTTAAAAAAATAAAATAGTTTTGTTAAATGTCCTTCTCTTCCTAGGTCCAATTGTTAAACTCATCTTTGAACCCTTAGCATCTGTCACGGTGCATGGAACGTACTAGGTGCTTCATAAATGCTTGCTGTGTGGACACTTAGTTGCACTGGACTCTTTCCTCAGACGTAAGGGCCAGGGCAAAGTTAGGGGTGCCCCGGCCCCAGTAAGACGGAGGAGCGCTCACTGTGTTGTCGTTTAAGAAAATCAGTTCCTCAAGTTTGGGGAGCATCTCTTTGTGAATGAATGGTTATGTATATTATTTATACAGAATATAATTTATGTGAAAGTTTATTACAGCTGAGTTTTGCCTCAAATGTAAGCTCTTTTTCGCCAAGGCGGTATCTTAATACTGCTACTGTTTCTTCTACTTTGTGTCTGTGTGGGTGGTAGGCCCTCTGTACTGGCTGATTATGAAGAAAGCAGAGAAGTAAACACACCTCTCAGCTGTTACATGAATTAAAAGTCTGTGTCTGTCACTGTGCTGGGTGAGGAGCTTTTTTAGGCCGCAGAGCATATTGTGTTTATCTCTGTATCCACAACATGCAGCACAGTGCCTGAATTTTAGTAGGAATTTGATAGCTCTTGGTAGTTAGGTTGACTAATCTCCTTGGAAGAAAAGGACTTCATAAGCTGCATATGTTAATGAGATTATAAATTGAGTGGATCCGTGGGTTACATGCATTTGAAACGTCACTGTTATTTAAGTGCATATTGTTAAGCTCTGATGTCCTTAGGTGTCTTCATTTAGACTATGCATGTTCCTTTAACTTAATTAAGTAAAGAACTCCTATCTCCTTCCCCTTCCCTACAGGCTGCCATGGCTGCTGTTGACAGCTTCTACCTCTTGTATAGGGAGATCGCCAGGTCCTGCAATTGCTACATGGAAGCTCTGGCCTTGGTCGGAGCCTGGTATACGGCCAGAAAAAGCATCACTGTCATCTGTGACTTTTACAGCTTGATCAGACTGCATTTCATCCCACGCCTGGTGAGCAGAGCAGATCTGATCAAGCAGTATGGAAGATGGGCAGTCGTGAGTGGTAAGAAATGAGATTTCAATTGTTGCATATTTTAAAAGCAGAATAATCTCTTCTGTTTTAAGTTGTGTTTTAAATTAGATGCCTTATTTGAGGAGTCACTGAATTCAATGTGATGTTTTCATGGGAACATAGTTCTGTTGTTATTATGTTGACGTTTTTGTACTGCCCTCCTCTCGGAAGGATCATCCTGTGACGTTTTGTCCTTCTTATTCTGCCCTCCTGTTCCCGGTCCTGCCTCAGCCCACCTTCCCACCTCTCATTTTTTGTTTTGCTTTGTTTTGAAATTGTCCTTAGAAACTGTCACCACTGTCAGCAGTGCTTCCCTTATTTTAGATTTCATTTTGATTTATCGTTGTTTCCCAGGAAAGTACCTCCTGGCACTTGTTCAAGCCAGATAGGAGTTTGGAAACCATCTCCTGCCATGTCTCACCAGCAGCTTGGTGAACGGGAGACTACCTTTCTTCTACTTGTCAGGGTGTCTGAAGGAGGGTTGGATTATCATGTGTTGTGCATATTTGGATTTGACATTGTACTCGACATAGTGATCAGGATTAGGACTGGGCTTATTTCTAGAATGAACCTTTTCGGCGTAAACCCAGGGGAATTTAAGGTTCGCTCCGAAGGTCGTGCCACTAAATGAGCATGGTTGCTCTCCCTGGCTTATATTGTAGGTGCGACCGATGGGATCGGAAGAGCCTATGCAGAAGAGCTAGCGAGCCGTGGTCTCAGTATCATCCTCATTAGTCGCAATCAAGACAAGTTGCAGATGGTTGCTAAAGACATAGCTGACACCTACAAAGTGGAAACCGAAGTTATTGTTGCAGACTTCAGCAATGGCCGTGAGATCTATGACCCGATTCGAGAAGCCTTGAAAGACAAAGACATTGGCATCTTGGTGAATAATGTCGGCGTGTTTTACCCCTACCCCCAATATTTTACTCAGGTCTCCGAGGACAAACTCTGGGACATCATAAATGTAAACATTGCTGCGGCTAGTTTGATGGTCCATATAGTGTTACCAGGGATGGTGGAGAGAAAGAAGGGCGCCGTTGTCACCATCTCTTCTGGTTCTTGCTGCAAACCAACTCCCCAGCTGGCTGCATATTCTGCTTCTAAGGTAATGTGTTCCTGATTGGAAAGTGAAGTCATAAAGCAATAGGACACTTATTATGTAGTTTGGTCCAGTTTGTCAAGCTGTCTCCAACTCATGTTTACTTATACTGTATTTTTTCCTGAAGTGGTAATAAGCCTTTTTTCTCCTGAATTTTCTTCCAAGTTCCTGCCCCCTAAATTAAGTCTTTACTCCTGCTCTGTTTTAACAGGCTTATTTAGACCACTTCAGCAGAGCACTGCAGTATGAATATGCTTCCAAAGGAATCTTTGTACAGAGTCTAATCCCATTCTATGTGGCTACCAACATGACCTCTCCCGGCAGCTTTCTGCACAAGTGCCCATGGTTGGTGCCTTCGCCAAAAGTATATGCACATCATGCTGTTTCTACCCTTGGCATTTCAAAAAGGACCACAGGATACTGGTCCCATTCTATCCAGGTAACAGTACGCGCTCAACTCTTGTAATTAGGTTAATGCATGCTAAACCTTTCTAAATGATACATGGCAATCTGATTGAAGCCTACTGCTGAAATATGAGAATTGCACATTCTGATTCTTAAACCTGACACTCGTAGTGGTTCTGGTTAAGTCCTTAAATTTTCTTCTGTGAAACTATTACTGGTATTTTAATCTGTGTGGCACCTAAGAGATGAAATATGGTGCTTATATGGTGTAAATGACAGTAGTATAAAATACTCAGTATTCATGTGGGAATTTCAAAGTGACAAAGATTCTAGTGATGCTTGAGAGGGTACCTGTGAATCAGCAGCCTACTTCACAAACATAAAACCACAGACTTGGTCTGGATCTCACATAACTGTCAGGCCAGTTAATATCTCAGCATACTCCTGGACTCATTTGTTCAAGAAGCGTAGACTTTATTGACAAGTTTACATTTCAGGTATGACAAAGATTTAGGGCTTTAGTATTTTAAAGAGTAACTTAAGTATCTGGCAATTTGATTCCGAGTATGAGGTTGTGAGCTCCTGGTTTGTTGTAACAGGTTTGTGGCAGTGTGAGTGGACGTGCAGTAGTTGAGAATTGTTGTTCGCAAGTATGCAGTCATCTCCATCACCAAGCAGATATTTTGGGGACTCTTTGCATAAAGATGATTAAATTTGCCATCACCACATAATAAATAAAATCAACAATTAACTTTTACTTTTATCATAAGATTTGGCTGAAAGTTTTTCTAATAAAAGGAGCTTTATTTAAGTGGCTATTTCCAGATCCTTCATTACTAGGGAAAAGCAGAGAGACCAAAGAAGTAACTTTAGAAGCCACTGAGCATAAAGTTCCTGGAGAAGTGACGAGGTGGCGAGGGTGGGGCTTAGAGACGGCGGATGTTTGCATTGCATTTGTAAAACACCAGCATTTTACTTTTTAATTTTTTGGTTTAAAAAGATTTATTAATTTATTTGAGAGAGAGAGAGAGCGTGCATGCATGCTGATGCAGGCGAAATCATGACCTGAGCTGAAACCAAGAGTCAGATGTTCAGCTAACTGCTAAGCCACCCAGGCACCCCAGCACCAACATTTTTAATTATAGTTCATTCACACCGATGAACTCTTCTTGAGAATGTGTATTTTTTTCTACCCAGAAAAGTCTGTTAATTTAATTCCCAGAGTAGTTTTCTGTATAAAGCTGTTAAAACTTTTCATTTTCCCTGTTTTCATTTTTAATTTTCCTCAAAATATTTTCAACATTATCACTTTTTTTTTTTCTTTCAAGTTTACATCAGTTATTTGGACATCAATCACTGTTTTGCCTGTAGCCAGATTCTCTGGCAGCTTTTCACACTGAGGCTTTCCATTTGTGATCACCATATCTTCTGAATGGAGTTTTGTCAGGTCGCAAAGATCTAAATTTTGTCAGGATTTCATTGTCTGTCGATTTTTAGCATATAAGGATTTTCCTGGAGGGAGTTTGATGTGCCAAACACACTGTATAAAGCATTATCTGTGCTTAACCCCCGTTACTCTTCCACATTACAGCCTGAGTAAGAGTGATAGCCTGTGTTACGTGTAGGATCATGGAAACACTCAATGCCTTGGATGAAGGCAGTTTGGGGAGCTTTTTAGGGAGAGATGGGTTGCAGTGAGCAGGTGAGGGAGTGGATTCTCCACAAAAAAGGCTCCACTGCATTCTCCACAAATAAAGCTGTGTAGGTGTGGCGGCAGGTAGATTGGGTAAGAGGAGGGAGTTGGGTTTGTTAATCCATTTATGGCAGCAGAGACATGGCTGTGAGTGAGTGCTGGCAGGGAGGGGTGTGGAGAAGAACAGCCTAAGAACAGCCTAAAGATGGGAGAGAGAAAGCATGGTTCCCAGCAATGGGGGCAGGACCCAGAATCCAGTGGAGGGGCCATGGGGGAAGTCACAGTCCTGTGCAGTGGGGGCTTGCAGAGTGAGGAGGTTTGAAGTGAGAGTTGTCTGGGGTGGAGAGCAGGCTGCTGTACCTGTGTGAGTGACTCTTGCGGGAGCCACTGCCGGGCTGGCCTATACAGTGATTTCACAGTCTTATTGATTCACTGATCACTGCTAGGTCTGTATAAAAGGCTCTTTTTGATGAGCTTGCACAGAGGTTAGGGAGGAGGTATCTTCACTCCTTGCCTGGGCCCCAGCCCTTACAGATGTCTGCAAAAACATCGTTTCTACACAGGAGCAGTTGGAGAACTGGCCTTTTCTGCTTTCTTGGCATACATTTAATTAGATGATTAATCATCTTTGTGTTATGCTAGTTGTCTTAATTATTTGCAAGCAGGAAGTAGAAAAAAAAGATTTGGATTTAAAACAACTATAAAAGGGTCAAATGTCTCAGCTTTAGTTGTCACCTAGTTATCAGTGTTGATTTGGAAGCCTTTCTTCTCTTTCTCAGAAGTGCAGTAGTCAGTATCGTCAGCTTTGGAACACAAAGTAAGGCTGGCAGAAAAGCTCGTAGCCTTCTGTTTGGGTTACTTGATGTGAACCAGAAACACATGGCTTTGTGTTGGGTTGAAAAAGCCATTAACTTGACAGCTTGACCAGTAAGTGTCTTGCTTATAACTCTGGGGGCTGTCCTCCTAGTGGTGGGATGATAGAGAGCCCCAGGAATTGGCAAGCAGGGTGGGTGTCCCTGAACTCTCTGGATTGGCCTGCAGTCTGCTCTGAATTTCTACCCACCTTAGGTGTATTTGTTCCCATAGAGTATGTGTGTGTTGCTATTGGAAAAGAGGATGTGGCACTTAGAGGAGAGGCAAACTGGTTGGCATTGTGAAGGCCCTGGGGCTGCATATCGAGATGTGGCTGAGGGTCCAAGGGAGGCAGGCTGTGTCAGAGGTCATGGCCCTCCTGCCCAGGCCGAGTTCCCATTCCCGTTGCCAGCCAGGAGAGGAAATGTGAACCATACACCCTCACTGCAGCTTTTCTTCTACCTTTGGAATAACTCTGGCCTAAGGATCCAGCCACAGTTTTTCCTCCTCTCTGTCCCCATTTCTTACCTAGGCCTACCCATCCCAGTCTCTGGGAAATATACGGCATTGGCGTTTTTATTGCCAAGGCAGATCTCCAACCAGCTGAATGTGTACGTTTGACGTTTGCCCACTGACTTCCTCTGGCTCTGGGTCCCCAAGTCTTACTGAACAACAATCTGCACAGGGGCTGTGCCACATCAGGAGCAGAGACTGTTGGCTTTTGTTGCAGGGGAGGACAGCTCCTTTCCTAGGCCTAGATAGCTGGGTCAGGGTCTCTGAAAATGCACAGAGCCTTCCAGAGCCCAAACCCAGCCCTCCCTTCCCTCCGCCCCCTCACTCACTCAGTCTGCCTCTAAACAAGTAGATGAGTCACCCCTTAGTTTCTAATCTACCAGTACACAGAGGATGAAGTTCTCTCCTCTTCCATTAGCTCTTTCTACCTAGCTCTTTCCATCCTGCTCCCCAGAGTGCTGAGACTCCATTAGGATAAGCCAGAAATGCTGTGCCAGTGATGTCTCCACACGTAGCACTGTAGGAGGCTGGCAAGATACATGCTGATGCTGGTCCCCATGCAATAGACAATGGTCGTGAATGGAAATTAAAAACCAACAGATTTCTAGGTATTGATCCCTTCTCCACTAAATAAATCCTGAAAAAATGCATAGCAGTCTTCCCCGTATCAACAGGGATATGTTCCCAGACACCCAGGGGATGCCAGAAGCCATACCTAGTACCGAACCCGTATAGACTATGTTTTTTCCTCTATGTACGGACCTGTGATAAAATTTAATTTATAAGTTAGGCACAGTAAGAGGTTAACAATGACTAATAATAAAATAGAAGAATTATAACAATGTCCTATAATAAAAGCCATGTGAATATGGTCTCTCCGAAAACACCTGTACAGTATGAAGCTGCCTTCTGGTTGTGATGACATGAGATGATAAAATGCCTGTGTGAGGAGAGGGAGTGAGGATATATCACGTTAGGCTGCTGTTGACAGGGCGGTAAATCAGGAGGATCATCTGCTTCTGCACCATGGTTGACCTTGACGTGGGTACCTGAAGCTGTGGAAAGCAAACCAGGAGAGTGGGAGCACTATTGTACTTGGAAGAGGACTTCTGTAGTCTGTCCCAGGTGCCGACGTGTTTGAGTGCATCCCTACTTCCAGGGTCCTCCTAAGAGACCCTAAGCTGACTTCTTTTGCCTCTTTGCATTTAGAATCTTGTGCTTTAAAACAGAGCTCCAAGGAAGAGTATCCCAGGATTTTTTCCACAAAATCCTGGCTCTTTAAAGAGGTCCAAGGTGACCTTTGTTGTGTCCCCAGAAAGTTTCCTGTGGCTCTGGACCAAATACTGAGCTCCTGTCTCTGAGGTGATGAGCCGGAGCTTCTCTGGACCCTGCAATGGAGAGCTGTGGCTGTCTATGATACTGGGACTCCCTCCTGTTCAGTGTGGCTTCCCTGGGTCTGGGTAATCTCTGTTGTTTTATTTCTGTTCAAGGCTAGAATTGTAGCACTTGCAGTGGCCTGTTCATCTCTCTCCCTTCCTCCCTCCCTCCCTTTATTTATTTTTTTATTAAAGTAAGCTTTATGCCCATTATGGGGCTCAAACTCACAACCCTGAGATCAGAGTTGTATGGTCTACCGACTTAGCTAGCCAGTCATCCCATTCACCTCCCTTCCTAACCATACGAGTAGAACTTGTGTTCAGCTCAGTCTTAGACAAACCTGTCAGCATAGTGCAGGGTTTCCTGCATCAGCAGTGTTGGCATTTGGTGTTGGATAATCCCTTGTTGGGAGGCTGTCCTGGGCATCATAGAATGTTCAGCAGCACCCCAGGCGTGACAACCAGGGATGTTTCAGGACATCACTATATATCCCCCTGGGATGCCCAGGCTATCTCCTCACATCTCAGGTCTGGGGCCTCAGGGTCCTAGGGTTTTTTTTTGTTTTTTTTTGTTTTTAAGATTTTATTTATGTATATCAGAGAGAGAAAGAGAGGCAGAGACACAGGCAGAGGGAGAAGCAAACTCCATGCTGGGAGCCTGATGTGGGACTCGATCCCGGGACTCCAGGATCACGCCCTGGGCCAAAGGCAGATGCCAAACCACTGATCCACCCAAGGATCCCCATGGGTCCCAGGGTTTTTGACCTAGTTCTCTTGTTTCATTTCACCCCATCCCACCCCTCAAGCTCTAGTTTTCTCTCATAGTAGTAATCGTGGATGCACTTATCCATTTCTGCTGCTCTTTATTCCTGGAGTGGTTTTGTCCTTCTTGACCAAATGAATCTGCTATTGATCAGGTTAGATAAGGATGGAATCATATGACTGCGTGTGAGTCTGTCCAGCCTCATTAGAGAGAGGGGGTGGGTAGGGGGTGGCATGTTTGTCGTAGACCTGTGGAGTCTGACATAGGTGCTTGGTACAAGAGCACCTAAGGACTTTTTCTTTTTTAATTTAATTTGATTGATGATATTTGTTGCAGTAAGTCATATACTGAAACTTACACATCTGTGCTTTGGGTTCTAACCTTATAACCTTTTTCTCTTTCATTTTTAGTTTCTTTTTGCACAGTATATGCCTGAATGGCTCTGGGTGTGGGGAGCAAATGTTCTCAATCGTTCTTTACGTAAGGAGGCGTTATCCTGCAAAGCATGAAACTTCATGATGGTCTGGGAAGTTTTGCCACCTCGTGGGAACCTGCAGTATTCTGACGTTCGGAAGAACACATTTATCTTCTGCATTTTCTTCTACTCCTGCATATTTAGCATACTGTTGACTCCTCACTTGCAAAGCATACATGATACTTGTAGAGAATGCTGTGGAAAAACCACAAGGGCCGCATCACATGGATGGCACGGAGCACACACCCGGGTGTGGCTAGGGCACAACACCCGATCAAGGGAACCTAAATTGTGATGCTTTTTCTCCTGTAAGCTGTATAAAAGCCGTGTGATTTATGTTGTTCTTGGAGCTACAGCAATGACCTGTCAGCATTTGTAGTTTCACATGTAGTTTCTTAAGGGAAGTGATCTATTTCAGTAGATGAATTATAGTATTGGTTTTCAAATGTTCATCAGGAAAGACCATTTGAAAGTGTTATTTTATGAGTAAGATCGCTGGTGTAATTAGCAGTAGAAATCTGTGTATGTCGCATTGTATAGCTCTGTTTGACTCTGTGTATGAAAATGCTGCTCTTCAAGCGATAGCTCACCAGAGAGCCGTGTGTGTATGTATGTTGTGTACATCTGGGCAACTTTATTTATGGGTAAGTCATTTTTAAAAAGGTGTCTTGTTAAGGTGGCTTAACGTGGAACCTTACGGGGTCTTAAAATTCTAGCTTATTCCTTTTCGTATTATACAAGCCTACCCAATTTTGTGCTATAGGTTTGCCATGTATAATATACATTCTGTTGGTTGTTGTTGTTGGGTTTTCTTTTGGTCTGCTGTGGAATTAATTCATTCCTAGATTTGAACCTATAATGGTTGATCCTCAGTCATCTCTTGTTTTATAATTATTGTGGATAAGTAGTGATTTCTCAGTCTATGACCCATTTTATAACTGAAATTTAGCCCTTTAGAGCTGGTTATATCTGGTTTTCATACACTTTTCTATGTGATATTCTCTTATAGCAGCATTAATGGAGTAAACATCAATGACTTATGGAATAGTGGTTAAAATATGGAAAAATTATGTGTGTGATATGATGTATGTGTTAAAATACGTTAGAAGCTCATTCTTGGTCAGTGTAACAAATTTATGCATCACTGCGAACACTTTTGTTGGTGTGAAGATCGTTATGCACAACCCCCTATGATAGGGGGTTGGCATTGACGCCTACTGTGAAATAAATGTTTTTGGTTCAGATCTTCTAAAGCCACACATTTTTGAGGACCACTCTCTAGTGCTTCGGCAACTGTAAATCACTGTATGAATATGACAATATGTGCAAGTTAAGAGTTTGGGGTTTATTACTGTTACACTGATGCAGAAACTAGTAAATTGGCTGAAATCAGGACTTCTATGGAATTTTCTTCTGAGATGGTATTCCATTATGAGTTAGGCCTGAGCATACTTTTATGTCATACCCACAATTTTGTCAGTGCTGTTGCCTTAGTCTTTCCAGATCTGACTTGGACTTAGAAGATCAGTGGTTGAATTCAGAAGCTCTTCCACGTATAGACCAGGCCTTCATTACACAAAAGGAAGACCTTTTGATGTGAAAAACCTGCTAGCGGTGTTACACAGCATGTGAAGCTGTTGATGAAATGAGCTTGGAGGCCTTCATTTTGTTACATGAGGCAATTTTCCCTCACCCAACAATTAACGTATGGTCATTAAGACTAGAAAAAAATTGACTTCCTGTCACATCGACCTGAATTGTAATTGAAATGTAGTAAGAAGCAGCAACTTTATGTAAATGCACCATATTTATATCTAAGGTGTTATGTGGCTTAGCAGTGTTATATTTATAGGTTACATATTGAGTCACTGTTACGTGATGAGAATAAGTAAATCGCAACAGTGATGTTTTCAAATTCTTTACTTGGCAGGACATGTGTAAATAAGCTGCTGGGTGCAAAGCTAGTGAAAGATCAAAACCAAAACTCTTATTAGGTTTCCTCTGATAAAATACTTCTTCCCAGAGCTTGAGAATCATCATTGGGCCACTGTGGATGGGGTTTCTTATTAGGAATGGGGGAAATTAATAACCTTTGAAACAATCTGTGAACTGAAAACTGAACAATAAAAGCTGTTGCTTCTGCTTCCCGTGGAAGAGATTTTGCTCCATATATTTGTGAGAGATTTTTTCCCCCATAGAAACAATTGCTTTAAAATTACCAAAACATTAATCCATGAACAGTTATGGTAGTAATTCATTAAAAGCTGGTAATTCAGCAAGAAAATTGCACATAACCATGTGTCTGTTAATTCTCTTGAAACGACTAAGTTGATTTCTTGTTCTCATTCTCCTGATAGGTTAAGGAGATGAAAGTAGATTTCTGTCATTAACTGGCAACTTGGAGATTGCCGCTGGTTTTGCCATGGGCCATTTTGTCTCCTGGTGGGGAGGAAAGGTCAATTGTAATGGGTTTGACACAGTGGAGAGAAAAAGGGAGATAGCAAGGGGAGAGCTTTTTTGAGAAATTTTGTTCTGTTTTAATCTCAGTTACTCAAAATCTTGTGACATTTGGGAACCAGGGGGTTAGATGGTGTGTCCCATCTTGACATTGTGTGCCCTCCTAAACCAAGTCCAGTCTGTCCGTGTCTCTCAGTACTGGCTGGGCTGTTTACTCTTTAAAATAGTATTTAGTTTGAATATAAATTTATCTTCCCATGGAATTTGCAAAATCTTTATTATATATATAAAGCATAGTGTTGCATCAGAACCGGGAGCGGTAGCAAGCCAATAGATGAGAATCCTCTGGTTGTTATTCTTTCTTGGTAGATCTCCAAAACACCTCTCTCATACCCTGCCCCACTTCATTTCCTAAGGTTCTCCGAGCTGGAGCAGTGCCCTGTTTCCTGCTTTGGAGCTTCACTATCATATGGCAGGGGTGTCGGCAGTTCACTAGCCTACCTAAGTTCCTAACAGTTGGGTCATGTATTCAGGGGTACAGTGACTTCAAGGTGGGTTAAAAGAACCCTGGCCTAGGCCAATCTACTCCACATTAAGACACCACAGTTAAGTTTAAGATCAAGTGCAAGGCGTGGTGGCAGCAGGGACTGCTTGACTTTGAGGATTTACCAATGGGAAAAAGTCAAGAATTCTCTGGAAGTTCCTAACATCGATGCGATCTCAGAATGGGGAGGGTCTAGCTATAAGCACCATTGTTTATTGGCGTCTCATTTAACCTTCACTTTCGGGTCAGGAAGGTGAGGTACGAAGAGCCCCGCATCAGAGCTACATGGTGGTGTGTTGCCGGTATAGCAAGTCAGTCTGGCTGAGGAATGAAGGGAGTACGGGGTGCTGTGCTTTGTCCTGTTGGTGCCGTTCGGCATCATCGCGGGGCGGGGGAAGGTTCAAACAGGATACAAACAGGCCTGACTGCACTGCACATCATTTTCCAAAAGTATCGCCAAAAACATGCTTCCTGCCCCCGACTTGGGACCCGGCGCCCGGCGTGGGCCCGTTCAACAGGTGGGCAGAGCACGCCCCGCCATCCTAGTGTCCACGCCCCGCGGACGCTTTGCGGGAGGCCGGCGTCCCTGCGCTGAGCGCACCGAGCCGCCTCCCCCCTCCGCCCGGCGCGGCGGGTGCGCAGAGGCTTGCAGAGCGCGAGCCGCGGCTGCCTCCCGGCCGCCCCGCCGCGGGCGTTTACGGTACCTGCTGGCCCTGCTGGCCGTCCCGCCACGATCGCCCTCCCTGGGCCCCGAGGCCCAGCGTCCCAGGTGCCGCAGCCCCCGGGGGCAGACCCGACCCGGCAGGTTGGCCACGCCCCTCGCCCCGCCCCGCCCCGCCCCGGGCCGCAAGTGTCGCGAGATCTCCGCCCGCCCTCCCGGCGCCGGCCCCCGCCCGCCCTCCCGGCCCCCGCCCGGCGTCCGGAGCGCACGCAGGTCCGCGCGGGGCACGCAGGGGACGCACAGCAGCGGCGGGAGTGGGGGGGGGGGGGGGGGAGGGGCGCTCCCGGCCGTCGATCTCCCCGCCCCGGTCGCGTAGTCTCGCGAGAGTTGGGAGTAAACAGCCCCGAATGGAGACGCGAGGCGTGTTGGCCGCGGAGGCGCCGTTATCCCCGGGCCGCCGGCCCCGAGCCTGAGGCGGTCGCGGGTAGGTAAGGCGGCGGCTCGCTGCCCCGGGCGCCACGTCCCCCCGACCTGTGCGGCCGGCCGCGCGCGCCAGGCCCCGAGGGCGGGGTGTGCGGCGGCGGGGCCGGGCCCGGGGCCTCCGCGCGCCTGGAGCCCGGGAGCCTGGGAGCCCGGGAGCCCCGCGCCGGCCCCGCCGCCCCCCGCGCCCCGCCCCCCGCGCCGGCCTCGCCGCCCCCCGCCCCCCGCCCCCCGCGCGCCGGGGGTCCCCGCGCGGGCGGGCTCTGAGCGGCCGTGGGAAGCTGTGCCGTCCCGTCCTGTGCCCGGCCGGGGTCTGGGCCTGCTGTGCCGGCGGCGGCCAGGGCCGTGCGTGCCGAGGTGCCCCCGTCCGGCGGGAGCCCGGGAGGGCCGTGGGGGGCCGGGGCGGCCGGGGCGGCCGGGGCGGCCGGGGCGGCCGGGGCGGCCGTGGGCGCGCGCTCGCTCCGTGCTCGAGGTCCCCAGCGGCGTGCGCTCGCGCCTGCGCCCTGCGGAGCCGAAGCCCCTGGCCCGCGGGTCCTCGCCGCGCCGGCCCGCCGCGCTCCCGCGCAGGTCTCACTGCGTTTGTGCACGAGCGGGCACCTCGGAGCGCTGATTCTCGCAGACTTTTTTTTTTTTAATCTGCAGAACACATTTTTTATATGAATTTTTATGTCGGACTTGGTTGACCTGAAATTTACGTAGCATAAGATTCACTCCCTTTAAGTGTACTTACTCCGGGGGGGGGGGGTGTGTGTTTGGCAGTAGCCATGCAGAGTTGTGCAGTCATCACCGCAACCCACTTTTAGGACATGTCTGACACCCCAAAAAGGCCCCTGCCCCTGCCCAGGTGCAGTCACTCCCCATTTTCCACCCCAGCCCCAGGCAACCGCTAATCTGCTCTCCGACTCCATAGACTTGTGTCTTTTGAATACTTCGTTGAGGTGGGTCTGTACGTGGTGTCCGAGAGCAGCCTTATGGGACTCTAGCCCGTTAGGTCGCTCCGTTGCATTCCCTGTGTGTGTCTCATATTCAAGGGTTGGTCGCATCCGTGAAAAAAGAGAAATTGTAATTTAGTGGTGGCAGAGCCCTTGAGGTACCTGGGGCCCCATGGGACCAAGTTGGAGCTCCTCTAGCTAAGAACTTTTTAGCCTTGCCTTCAAATTCATGTGTTGTTTGATCCCATCTTCCATCATTCTGGTGGGTGGTTACCGCTCTGCCCTGCCCACCGCCTCTTTTGTGTGGCAGGTAAGTGTCACAAACAGAGTAACAAAACCTAGGAAGTGTGAACACTTAGGTAAACTGCCCCAGGTTTTCATCAGTGTCTTATGTGGGGCTTTCAGGGGGAGATTTGCACCTGCCTTTTTTTTTTTAATTTTTTTTTTTATTTATTTATGATAGTCACACAGAGAGAGAGAGAGGCAGAGACACAGGCAGAGGGAGAAGCAGGCTCCATGCACCGGGAGCCCGACGTGGGACTCGATCCCGGGTCTCCAGGATCGCGCCCTGGGCCAAAGGCAGGCACTAAACCGCTGCGCCACCCCGGGATCCCCTGCACCTGCCTTTTTGCACCAGGAGAGAGTTGAGATGTTGTTTGTGTTTTATTGGAAACAGTTGACACCTCCCACCCTTGGTGACCTGAACTATTAATCAGGGATGGGAGGTAGGGGCACCTGGGTGGCTCAGAGATTGAGCATCTGCCTTTGGCTCCGGTCGTGATGCTGGTGTCCTGGGATGGAGTCCAACCTGAGGCTCCCCCACAGGGGGCCTGCTTCTCCCTCTCCCTATGTCTCTGCCTCTCTCTGTGTCTCTCATGAACAAATAAAATCTCAAAAAACAAAACAGAAAAGGATGGGAGGTTAGACCTTCCGTTTGGTATTTGGGTGGGGACCTTGGTCTCCATCAGCCTCTTGCCTGTGTCTAGATAGGCCAAGGAGCTGGTAGAAACAGCCGTGTCGGTGTTCCCTTCCCTGTGGCCTCATCAGTTTTGATGTACTGCAGAGATCTCTTACCTAGATATGTTAATCTGATGTCTTTGCCTAAGGAAATGAGTTTCAGTAAAATGAGGCAAGTGCGGAGTGTGAGGTGCCTGCCTGGTGCGGCTAGCCAGGCTAGCCAGTACTGGACGGCTGAAGGATCAGGAGAGTAAGGAGACGGGCAGAGCACCTGCGAAAGGACTGTGTAGCCCAGTACCTCCTCACTCTGACACTGTTGACTCTTTGGGCTGAATTATTTGTTTTGTCCCCTTACAAAACCTACTAATGGACAGAATGTGCCAGAAGGAATGGTTCAGTCAGGCGGAAGAATACACCTATACACCTACAGTCTGGCATTGGTTAAATGTTAGCGGATTAAACAATGGTAGTACAGCCAAGTATGCGATTAGTTACGAAAGTGGTACTTTTACAACTAATGTTTAATTGAACTGAATGCTACCCTTCCATGATCTAAACACAATTCATTTTTCTCTGGAGCTGTTTCAGTAAAGGTTCATTAAAAAAAGCTGGCGAGTCGGCATAATTAGGTGACTATCGGTGATACAAGTAATTTTCTCTCCCCTGAAAAGTGTTCTTATTTGTAGAGAAAGGATTTCGGATATATCTTAGCTATGCCCAGAATTCGAATCTAAGTGATACGCTTTTATAATGCAAAGTAGAAAAACCTCAGAGCTGCAAGGAATGTTAGTCGTCAGACCAGTTGTTTGCCCAAGTTACACATTTCCTCTACATGCTCTCCTTTTTACACATAGCTCAAAAAAATCTTCTTCCTGGTGTATATTGTTTGAACTGTTTATTTTCCATTTTGGATTTGATGTCAGGTATTTTTTTTTATTATACCTGTGTTAGAGGCATACAGAAAATCCATAATTGTACAAATACCATCTTTTAAGAGTGCCTTTGTATGGAAAGATCACCAGGTCTTCTATATAAAAAAAATTATAAAAATTAAGTCTAGTAAACAGTGGATCTAGTAACAGCCCTGACTGGGCCCTGTAAGTAAATGATAT